ATATATATATATATATATACTTTTATTATTATTTCATTTAAGGACACCCGACAATAACCTCGGTGGTGTGTACGTTCAGAGCGCACGTTACAGCCGGTCTTCCAATGGCCCGGCATAATAATATCTGTCGAAACCTTTCGGTTAGGTTTTTTATTACCATATTACAATATAAATTATTACTATGTCGTACAAGCTCTGTCGAAAATCGAAAGTACACGAACCCGAATATCACAGCAGCAGCAGTATAACGTTATTATTATTATTATACAGACAAGACACGAACGACGTTTGGACAACGTATGAAATATGAATTAGCAATGGAATTTATGAGTGTTTCTGAGCCGAATCAGAAGGCAAACGTCCACCACGGTTTTCTCGAACTAGGACATTAAAAAAACTAGACGATGGCCGCAATCGCATATTTTGTGTTATTTTTTCGTCACATTAAAAAAAATGTCTTATATCATTTTTCTATCCATCGCCGACGGCTGGCTTTCGGTCTTGCGCCACAACCGCTGTACCAGAGATAGGCCTAACGCAATAACCACACTGTACCTATCACTGATTAGATAAAATCAGACGGTGTATTCCCTATTAAAAAAAAAATCACTGTAATTGCTGTGAAAATGAAAACAAACCAAAACCCACCTCAACTTGGAGAAACCATTGGTGGAAAAAACAAACAGAACTGAACATCACTAAGTTCAATGATTGTTATTTGATAACACATTATTGTAAAACACAGATATATATATATATATATATAATAAACTAGATTGGTTCGACTTACTATGGAACTACTAAAAGGTTCATGATTATTTTTCTCCCTTCCTCTTTTTATCATCGATCCCTTATCAGCTGCTTCTTATCACTTATATAATGTTACTCGTCTCTTATCAGCGGCAGTTTTTTTTTTGCTAGTGTCCTATTACCACAGATATACCATTATAAGTTTTCCGCCATCTTTGTGGGAATTACCACCTTATCACATGTTTATAGCTGTTATCACTGTTTATATCAAGTCAATTTGATAACACGGAATCACAAATATATTATATTTTGTCTAATATTTTATAGGTACTCGATTAATTCCCACAAAAACGGCGGACGTCGACTTTAACTATTGTTATCACAAATTAGCAGTCTAATTTATTATGCGTTTTTGTGTAGTGTAAAATGTCTTGTACAACAATTGCATTTCTAGCATGTGACCACACATATTTGACACGAGGAGGGTCACGGTATTGTCTAATCTGTGAGTATCGGCAAAAAAATCATACCTCGTTATTTTTGTTGTATATACATTTTTTATTAAAAAACTCGATAGGCAATCCTGACAATCGTTTGCCCACGCGAACGGCAAGCCCTCGGCCAGTGTCCTTTAACATACACCTATATCATAATACACATGCCACAGTGAAAGAAAAAAAACCGTTTAATAACACTGTGACTACCGTGTATTATCCATCAGTGATCTACAGTGACTGTATACGGTAATCGTGAATCGGTAGTCGATGATCGTTAACGGCTAAGATTGTGTGTGTGTGTGTAAAAAAAAAATACAAATAAAAAAAGAAAACGGCTCGAGGCACTTGGACTTGAAGACTGTGGAAAAAAAAATAACCACTTGACCCCGTCACGTCCTCCTGCCGGTGTACAAGTATTATATTATATATTGTATTCGATAAGTATATTACATTATTATATTACTGCACAGCATGTTATAATACTATTATTATTATTATTATTTAATTACATATCGTTAGCGAAAAGCCCGAGCTTATCTCGCACACCAAATAGCTTAGCTCTCATAATATCGTCGTCCCAGTTGTGAAGTACAGTGCTCAGAAGCCAAACTGATTAACTGCACAAAATTACATTTTTCAGCACAGGCAGTTAAAGTTATTTGAAACAATGTGTGTAAGTACAATTGCCAATTTTCTTAGCGCACTCTAGTGATGATAAATCTTAAATCTTAAACCTAACCTTGTTGTCCTGGCTGTTAATATTTGACAAGAACCAAATTGTGTACACAATATATATGTTGTATCATAAATTTAACAGGAGACTAAAATAAAAAGTTTCAGTTTCTTTCGGAAATTAATAATAGAAAAATTAAAAAAACCTATACAAATAAGAAAATTCTCATATTTATCATGTGGGGAAAAAAAATCACTTTACTTTTTTAGTTCTCATAATTACTATACTTGGAGTTTCTGGATTAGAGTTGGCCAACTATTAAATTCGTTTTATCTCCATTGTAATCATTTTAATTTTGTTACTTCCACTTTAGAACTTCTATAGTTTAACAATAATTGTTTTGTTTTAGAATTTCAAATGAAGCACTTTATTGTATGTGTTTATGTCAATAACGCCATTGATATGTGCAGCTCACTTTATATTAATTATTTTTTTAAATAAAGTTGTTTATATATTATAAAAAAATAATATCATTATTTCTGAATCATTGACAAAATTAGAGTAATAATAAATGGAAAACTCCTATTTTTTTTTTTTTTTAATACTAATTTTACTTAAGTTAATTTGTCAAATAAAACATTGAATATAAATAGAAGTTAATTGAAATTTATTAAAGTAAAATCTTACTTGTAACTTGACTTTAACAATAATATTTAATTTAACTTTACCTAATAAAGTTGATTTCCACTTGGCTACAACATTTTAAGTTTTTAAAAAAATTCTTGTTAAATATACATACTTTTTTTTTTGTAATCTAACTAAACTATAATTTATACAAATAAACATTATTTTATTTTTAAATATAAAAATATAACATGATTAACTTTCAGTAAGCTAAAAACTAGTTTTAATTATTTATTTACTTTAGTTTCAATACTTAACCGCACTTTTCTACCCGGCCTATACGTTTATCAGGTCTTAGACTTAAGTATTCTTCTAGTTCTCTATACACATGTGTATTTTACTCTATGAACTGTAAAAAAGTAAAAAGTGTTTGAATTTGTTTCACACATTTTGTGTTGTTGACCTGAATGGGAAGTGTTTGAAAATTGAGAATAATATGTCATTTTCAAGGTGCGTTGTGTGTAAATAATAATCCAAATAACTGCTACAACGTTTCGCATAGTTTCGATGAGACACTACACAAATAACGATAGAAAATGATAGATTTCTATATCGATTAATTCTTATAGCTTACACTTTTTATCCGCACTCAAAGCTAAACGTGATCGAATCGTTTCCACACGAATCATTCATAGTTAACTCTGTTGTAGCATTGTTGTAGAATAAAATAAGAGTTGTGTATAAATATTAGGTGTATATTGTATAACATATTTTCTTCTAGTTTCACCGAGCATTGTTTTAAATGAGAAATGTTTTATCCCACAAACCAATAGGTCCGTCCAGCATGTCGATTGTTATTCAATATATAACCATTGTGTATTAATATTGGAATATAATTATTGTTGTCTGGTCTGAATACACAAACGAATTTTTCGCCAAATGACCATTGTTCCTATTTATTTAGGTAGGTCTTGTGGATAAGATCACGTCCGTGATGGGCATTTACACGGACAAATATAATAGAAATAAAATATTGTAATTATTGTCTATTATATTGTCTTTGTAGGAGGCGTTGTTCGGGTCAGACGCACTTTCGAAAAAAATGATAATATATTTAAGAAAATCGCACGCAGTCAGCAATGATAATAACAATAATTATTATAATAACACACGGCCAAACACGGTTTGGCCACCAGATAGGTATGTGTACTTGAGATTTATAATTAACTACTGAATCAACCCGACATCGGGTGCAATCGGTCGAAAGTGAATGAAAAAAAAAAAAAACTAGTAATAACATAATAATTATCCGGTGACGAACGCAACACATACTCTAAAAAACTAGTATGATAATTTACTGGAGCGGATTGCAAAAAATTGCACGTCGAATATGTCACAACCGATCGACGATCGAAGTTTAGTACACGGTTTTATTTGAATTTTATTAAGAAAATTAATTAGCAACCCTTGCAAAGCCCAATCTAATCTTGTTTCCTATCTACGGATTAGGATTTATAAAAATATACATTGATTTAAAATACAGCTAAACGATCCGTTAACTTTAAAATGTGTGAAAATCTCAGCTTCTAACCAAACCTAACCAAACCTAACCTAACCCAACCCAACCTAACTTAACCAAACCTAACCAAACCTAACCTAACCTACCAAACCTAACCAAACCCAACCTAACCAAACCTAACCTAACCTGGTATGAGTGGTAATATTATTATGCTTATGTTTAGCAGAGGCCTTGCAAAATCGGCTAGTCGAATGGACGATTAAGTGAAATTAACGTAAAACTTAAAAAAAAAAAACAACAACAAACGCCGAAAATAAATAGTATTGCTTGCTAATTGTCCTAAAAAAAAATGTATGTCAAACTCGACGTTTAAATATTTCATTGTCACGTGATAACACTTCAAGTGTCTCCCCCCAAAAAAAAAAAATATATATATATATATATATTATATTCAATTAACGTTTAAAGCGGTTGTTGATTATTATCATCCGTTACTTCCAAAACACATTTGTCAGTTGTAGTTGTGCATTGAAATTATTTACATGTTTTTTCCTCTATTTCACAGATGCAATTAATTACTACTACTATTCTAATAAATCGATTACAATACCCACACGTTGAGATATTACGAGTAAGCGTTATTTGTATACAAACATAGACCCGAATTTTTTTCAACTTTTGGGTAAAATTCTTCAACGTCTTTGGTTAAATATTACAACGTCTTTGGCGAACGATGACCGATAAAATATGGCGGGTTCGGACAAACGACGGGTTCGGACGGCAAACGAAGGGTACGGTGGGGAAAACCCCGGGAAAGACAGGTTATTTTTAATCGAAAACTGGTTTTCTTGTGTGTGTGTGTGTGTGTGTGTGTGTTTTCTTTTGCCTTTACTCTAAATTATTATTGTTATTATTGTTGGTGTGTTTGCAAGTTTACCTAGAGGCTGCGACGGCACCGCGGGCTTGGTCTATGGCGACTACGGTGGTCAAGACGTTTGGCGGCGGCAAGACGTTGTTGCTGCAGCTCGGTGGACTTCGGCGGATGACTTCGATGATGGACCAAGGTACGACGGCTGTCAGCACGCGAGTCGGTTATTACCATAATCACTTGGACAAATCGTTCGCAGGGACGACGGTAACACAACGGTAAGTAAAAAAAAACAAAGTATCAGAAAACAACTGGAAAACAATTGGAAAACGTCTTGGGTCGTCAGCGTCGCTCGGTTCACATGCGTGTGTGTGTGCTTCGAGCGAATCGCGAACGCTTTTTACCAACTGATATGCCGCTGCAATGCCGACTGGTTTATATAAAACGATTAGCGTGTCGCCTCGGTCGAGCGCGCCGCGTGCAACGCGCCAAGGAAGGCTGCTCCGAGAAGGGGAGGAGGGCAGAGGGCTACTAGAGAGGGGACCGTTTTTATATTATATCTGTGTGTGTGTGTGCACAGTGTGTGTGTGTGTGATAGCCGATAGAGGGTATCATGGACAGCTTAATCTTTACCGAGAGAGATAGAGAGAGAGTGAGTGTGTCAGCGATACGATAGGGTAATAACATTTAACAATTATCGCTTCGTGTGTGTGTGTGTGTGTGTACGATACACTACTAAAATAATTATTGAGGCTGTGTCCCATTGTCGCTGTGTTGTATAAGTCCTATGCGTTTGTGTATGAGTCGGGGTCGCCGAAAGTGCACGCTCTGTATATACACACACACACACACACACACATGACATGACGCCGAAAGTGCAAGGTGACCACCGCCGACCGCGACTACCCGGGTGACCGTGGGCACTGGCTGGCCGGGGCGCGCGCACAGCCGTGGTCTGCAATCCGCGGAAAAGGCTTTTGACCTGACGTGTTTGGTCAGACGTTTACGAACATTTACCTAAACGAAGAGCGAATTAATATTGTCAAACGTGTTCCGAGTGCCGAAAATGTATACGAATTGAACTTTACCAATTGATTTGTATTTTATTCATTGCCGGAAACACTTGAACGTATATACCATACATAGGGAAAACACTTTTGAGTTTTAAATATGATTGTTTTTATAAAAATAACTAGTCTTTACTTGAAAAATGTACAAAATTGTTTCCATTAATGAATTTATATACAAATCAAATAATTATAAAGTTTGATTTTTATACTTTGGCGCTTTTGGAACGTTTGACAAATTCACTAACCTAACCTAACCTAACATTAACATGACCTAACCTAACCTAACCTTAAACATTTAATAAATAAATATAGTTTTACGATCCGTTAACTTTAAAATGTGAAAATCTCAGCTAACCAAACTAACCAAACTAACCTACCTAACAAAACTAACCAAACCTAACCTACCAACCTAACCTAACCTTCTTGGTATTAGTGATAATATTATTATCCTTATGTTTAGCAGAAACATAATATGAGACACTCATATAAGAACAAGAGCCTAATTCGGTTTTTTTTGTAAATATTTAAACTGCTTGCTGCTTGGGAGTATATTGACATGTAAGAAAACTTCATATGAGAACTTTTAAAACTATTTATCCAAAACTGGTTTGTCGACCAATAGACATTTTCAGTAAATTATTTTCTATTTAAAAAACACATTCAACAAACAGGTTACCGTTCAAGTTTTAAAAGTTGATAGAACTCTGGAAAAAAAGAAAATCGTATACAGGGTGATCATTTTATCGCGCAACACTCTATAACCCAGCATTTTACCTAAAAAAAAAAATTTTTATTGTTTAAAATATTCATCTTAACTTCATTAGCCTAAGTATCACCCCACATTGATGTCCAGACACAACATGTATAATTATGGACTATAAAACCCTGTACTGTGTTCAAATCTATTGGAGTTTTTCAACACTATGGAGCAATGACTCAGTTTTTTATATCATTCAATTTTTCTGATGATTTCTATTGAGTGTATTAAGTGTAAAAAATCATTATAGATGGAAGCAGCGTTGATAATGAGTTCTGGCTATTTATTGTGTGCATATCATCATTACTGGACCGATAACGAATGAAAGCAATCAAATATTGTGTTATTTCAATTTAGAAAAAACTCAATAAAAACCATTAATGAGTTTTCGCCATATCTAATTTCTTATATTAGCCATTAGTTAAAATAGGAAATTATTAATAAAAAGCAGGAATCGAAACAGTTTTGTTTTTTTTACAAATGTGTTCAACTATAATACTGTTTGAAAAAAACTCTTTTATTAATAAAATTTTAATCGAAACAGTTATTTTAAAAATTACATTTTTTTATTAATAACAATTTTTAAAAAAGTGTTTTTTCATTATGGTTATATTTGGTCTTACATATGATTGTTGTTAAATATTTGGTTGCTTTTTCAAATAAATTGATTGTGTTCAAAAAATTAAACTGTCACTTATACTATGAAATTTTGATTATATTAAATCGGTACAATATAATCATTTAAAATTTAAATTTTCGAAATATTTTAAAACATTTTTACGCATAGTATAGTAAAATTATTATTAAGTTGTATGTTATATTTCCTATTAATAAAAATAGTAAAAGCATAATACTTTTTTCATTTAACTTATCCACGTAAATGGTTTATATCAACTGTTAAATAAAAACTTTTATAAATCCAGTTAGAAAATAAAAGTTATATATAATTATAGGATATCTTTATTAGATTCAATGTAAAAATTGTATTTTAAAATAAATTTAATTGTATAACCCTTCTGTATGTTCATCACATGAAATACTTAAAGGAGACGGACAAAATATCATTACAACTGTATTTGATATGTAAACAACAAAACTTTGTTACAAGTCTGAATTTAAACTTGGAATACATTTTGAAAATCAACCCATTTTTTCAGAATTTACAAGTTAGGTTAGGAAAGGTTTAAAAAAAAATGTTAATTGGTTTTAAACGAGCACTATTAGTTTTGATGCAAGTAATTGCAGCTGAATATATTTTCTTTCTCTCGTTTATTTACATCTCATCTAATAAAATGTAAGATGAATATCTCACTGCTATGACAGTTAATTAATTATTTATTTCTTATTGCGGATATTAAATCCATTTACAATTTCTCATAATATATCTAACAGTTGTCAACTAAAGGTTTTGACTCTCTGTAAAACACAATATATTATGACCAAGGAAACTACAATTGGCCGGAATCAGAGGGAAATAGCTAATAATTTTTTATTAGATCCTACTTAAATAACTAGGAGTACAAAAAAGTTAAATTAAAACGATTATTATTTTAGACAGCTATTGTTAAACTTTGTTTACGGCTAAGATTAATATTACATTTTATTAAAAATTAAGATGTAATGTGTGGTAAGTGGTTACACGTTTAATGATAACAGATAACAGTGATAATGATAAGAGATGTTTATAACGGTGTAATTTTTAAAGTTATATTGATTATTGTAAAATAGTGTAACTATAAATTTTATACTAACATTTTTATTTTATTCATGTAATGTAATAAAGTTAAATTAAAAAAATAACTAATAAACAAACATATAATTTACACCGCTCAAAAGTTAATACATGACAATAATGTTATTATTAGAGTAAGTAATAAAGTCTTTTTGTTATACTTAAACATTTATCTGAAGCCAAAATCGTTGTTTTTAAACGTTAATAAAATTGAAAACATCTTTTTAAATGTACATAATTTCTTTGTAAGTAAAGCAAGCCGGCTGTGGATGCAATTCTTTATTAAATGGTTAATTTTTAATCGACTGCCTAAATGACATACTGTTTTATAATAATCGATCACACACACCATGAAAAACACACATTACTTGTTTAAAAAAAAAAAAATACCTATTCATACAAACTAATAAATGTAATGGTCAAGCAAGTTATTTAATTGATTTAATCGACCAAAGGAGTAACTTATTTAAAATAAATGTTTCGTTTGCAGTTTGCTTATTGTACTAATGTGAAATGTTTGATTTTAGAGTACAATATGTAGAGTAATAAATATAGCAAATGAATAACGGAAAAGTCTGGTTTATTTTTTAAAGTATATCAATACATAATTCTACATTACAATATATAATGTACCGTTTGGTCTATGGCATTGTATTGAGATTTCTCATTAAATCTGAAACAAAAAAAAATAAAATTATTATTACACTCAAAACGTTAAAAAAAAAGCAAATAGGTAAACACAACACATAATTATTCGAATAGTTATTTTGTAATTATTAATAATAATTTAAGTGGGTCTAGTTAGAAATAGTGTACAGCTATTAGGGGCACAGCGAGTATAGTATAAAAAAAAAATAGATTTTCAAACAAAACATATTTTATGAAATATACTTTAAGTAACCAATTAAAACTGGTCGAGACTGGTTGTTCAAGCTCCATCCACTTCTGTACAATCAGAAAGAAGCATTGTCAAATTAGTTAAAAACAATGTTATTCAATTTAAATCAATCTTTAATGCCGTCTAATAACAGCTAATCCTTACTGTACCTATATTTAAAAAAAAAAATTAACCTTACTGTAGCAAATTCTATGTACGTTATAGCCAATAGCTAAAACTGCCCAGGCTTATTAAATTAAAAAAAAAAATGAATAATAGATAAAGTATTGATGGTATTACAATATGGGAGAATAATCAGCAGCAGCATGTTGTAGTAGCCAATTTGTTAAATTTAGTTTGAATAATTTTGTATAACTCATAAGGTAGATTATTATAAACACTTGGACCGGTATATAGAAAAGAAGATTGAGTGGCTGATTTTGGGTACATTTGGGGTGATAATATATTATTCAATTTACCTCTGGTGTTAAAATCATGTGAAATGGGTTCAATTTGATTATTTTATTTACTAAGAAAGTAAACAACTGTTAAAATATTTAATTCCTCATACAAGTTATTGTCGTGAAAGTCACGGGTTTTATTTCAAATTATTGTTAGGATATCATTTTGTGTGATAACTTGTAATTTATCAAGATCAATTTTATTTGCCGCGCCCCATGCAATTATGCTATAAGTACCAGTGTTGATTTTACTAGCCCCTATGTAGATTGTAGGTATAGTGTTTTACTTTGTGACTTTTGTCCAAAATAGATCCAAGTTGTTTCGTTATTTTTCGGTGTAAAGGAAAACTATAAAATTTCAATTACATTATACCTTTTGAGACGGTTGTGGCGGATTGCACTTTTTCAGTTGCTATTTTTTCGGTTTTCTTGCTCGGTTCGTGCAGAAAAAGACTGTAAAAATTAAAAGGAACCGTTAAAAAAAAAAACACAAATTAATTACAATAATATGAACAACTCACCAAAGTCCGGAGTAAAGTGTACACACAGAAAATATAGTGTTGTGCTTTGATCCGATTCCGGTATGGGCTATTTGTACGGATATCGGTTTGCGTCGATAACATAATGTTATTATTATTATTATTATTAAATGTAATCTGAGTGCAGTGATCTCTTATGTTGCCCTCGTCGTCTTGCAGATGTACACACACAACAGTTGGTCGAAGAAAGTAGCATCTCACACGATAGGTTAGGTTAGGTTAAAGTCCGGCAAACAGGAAAAGGAGCTGATAGACTTAAAATATCGTTATTGTGCACCTCTATTTAATATGTAATTTGTTTGCATGCCAGTTTGATTAAAAGCAAATTAACTCTCAAGTCGACGGGCGCTGTCTTTGAGTTGGACAAGATTTACAAGTACAATATTTTTTAATTCGTTTTTTTACACATTTTTCATTATACAATTTTAACCCAAGTAGATTGTGCAAGGTTAAATTGTTAGCAATTGGATTTTAGCAAGGTTTAACGAGTTAGGTGTAGTCTGAACTTAGATTAATCCAGTTAAGATTTAGGCAAGTTTAACGGTTTTCATTGTGTTTTAAATATGACTTGGCGAGAAATTTATTGTTTCAGAAATGTTATTTACATTTGGGTTGTATTTTTTTGGGAAATATTTCCAATAATTAAATCATGTTTTGTAAATAAAAATTTTCGTAACAATGTATGACACACTCTGTACAGTGAAAAATTAAAAAAAAAATCTCATAAACGATATTAGACTTTATTTTTATTATTCTTAATTCATAATTTCACAGTTGTTAGTTACCTTAAATTTGATATATTTTCCAACTATATTACTATATTTTTTAGACAAGTACGATATTTTAAAATTCATTTTTTTACTATAACATTTTTGCCTAAGTCCTAAGATCATAAATACCTGATCGAACCGCTTATAAGATATTACTTAATTTATTTTAGGTCAATTCTCACTCAATATCCTTACATAGATTATGTTGAGATGTTTTCTAAAGAGTACTAGCCAAATTAATTAAAAAGAGGACGGCCGATAGTGCGTTATTTTTCAAGGGTTATTCGCAGAAATATATTTTTAAAATATATATAAAGTAACTATTAGAGTACCTACCAATTGATGTCTAACCGCACAATTTTAATAGTTAATTAGTATGTTATCTAACACCGTACAATTATTACAGTAATGTTCAGCTATACGATGCAAAAAGAATAAGGAAATAATTTCATCAAAGAAATTGTTTTTTTTTCCTGTATTACTCGTAGTACTGTATAGTTTAGTAGTTGATAATATTTTTCATATTTATTTATAAACAACACGGTTAATAATCTTGAATGTTATTTACAATAATTAGAGTGTGAAAAAAAAATAAAAAAAATACAAATAAAACTTTATTATATGCAAAAAATTATTTTTTTCAACAATTGGATCATTTTTAGATCGAAAAAGGTTATCGTGTATTTTCATAATTGGCTTTTACTCTAATGAGAACCGTCGGCAGACAATATAATATAAGACTTGTATCTTAATTACCTAACCTAACCTATCTGTATATATTAGAAATACTATTTCCTCGAAAATCCAGTGCGGTTTAGGCATACCCAGGGGCAGGCTAAGGTGAACTATAAATCTATTTTAAATACAAGACATCATAAAATAGCTTAGACTCGTGTGTTTCATAATCAGCCTATACTACTAGTTATTTTACGGTGCACAAGAAGTGCAAAGAGAAAAAAAAACAAGAAAAGTCACTTTTTTTTCAATAGGTATAGCAAGTTTGGTGTCATAAAATTATAGCATTAAAGTACTGCATTTCTAAACATGTTCGAATTGTTGGCAGATATTACGTTATTTAGATAAGATGAAAAGATAATTTAAATAATATATTTTATCTAGACTGAGTTGTGCAAATTTCTATTCAAACATTTATTCGAATAAATCATTTTTTTTTTTTTACTAACTTTTACTTGAATAATGTGTTATCTAGATGATAACATCTAGATTATTATTTAGATTAAACGTTTTATTTGATTGAAACCCTTTACTGTAATTCAGAATTTCCAGAAATATATAATTGGAAATAAATTGAAGGTAATAGTAAAAATTAACATTATATTCTCACTTGCAAGACAAACCCGAAAATATGAACACCCAGTATTAAATTTTGTGCTTGACAATAATTGAATGCTATCAAATACTTAATATCTATTACATTTATTTTTCCTTTTTTTATCATAACGAAAATATCAGCTGATTTATCTGATAAGATAATAGAGATAAGAGATAAGAGATATGTATTTTCTTTGGCACACAACCGGAAAATCGACAGTTAAAAAACCTATTTCTTGTCGGTGTGTATCGGATTCTTTAGAAAAAAGCGGCTATAGTGATCTTCTAAAAAAACTTAAGCTCAATAATATTTAAGATTGGGCGAATGCAAGAAAACCACGTTCCTGTTTTGTCGGTGATAAAAAAAAATGTTGTAATTTTTTTTTTTTATGATCGAATTTGTTTTCTAATACAACCCGTCGCTTTGCGACAAAGCGATTTACATACTGCCTAATAGTTATTAGAGAGTAATTTTATTACTTTCACATTTACCACAGTACCCTCTAATCAGTGTAGTGGCCATTGCCATACCGCTGTGATCTCACGTTACTGTAAATTGATACTATCAGAACCGTTTTCCCGACCAATTGTTAATTACTAAAATTGCATTTATACGTATACATATTACGCATTAGAAATTGTGTCCGTAATTTAAAATATATACAATTATATAATATGTAGGTAAACTTCAATGAGTCAATTAAAATATTTACAATATTTCTGCTCACCCGTTGAGACGGGTTTTAGTGTTGTCAAAGTTGAGAACAAAACAAAGTTAAGAGTACATCCACACTTCGTGCAGATACACCAATGCGTGGATATGTCCTGCAATCTAGTATCTCTAATATCTTATCTCTTATCCACCATCTCTATTAATTCACCCGTTAAAGTACAATATTTTTTAATTATACAATTTTAACCTAAGTAGATATTTTAGGTTAAACTGTTAGGTTGGATTTAGCAAGGTTAATCAAGTTAGGTTTAGTCTAGATTTAGATTATATTCAAACAATGTCCAGGCAGTGTCCAGTTAAGATTTAGGTAAGTTTAACGGTTTTCATTGTGTTTTAAGAATGACTTTTTTCCTACAGTTGTAGGTACATAATATTTTACTATATTTTTCAATGCTCAGGAAAATTGTCCCTAAATGTATCCCTTATATGTAAAACATGTATGGATTTGGTTTTCTTCAAATAGACACATATTTGTTTAATGCTATTAATAATAATTATATTTCAGTTAAGTTCAGCTAACTAAAAACTGTAAAATTATGTAAAAGAATAACAAAAATAAAGTCTAATATCTTTTATGAGATTTTTAGTTTTTTTTTCAGAGTGTGTCATTAGGATACTAATTTTTTCTTTTAAACAACTGAGAAGCTTATTAGAACATAGACTCAATTTCTAATTTTGGTTTTTTTTTCAAAAGACACAAAAAACTATTTTTCTTAATAATTTTTTTTAAATTTAGCCTAATTTATTACCATTTAACGGGTTAATTTAATTGATAAAATATCGATTTTTAATTTTAATTTAGCTTAAGGAATTTTTCAAAAGTTGTAAAATTGGGCCTTTTAAAATTAAAAGTTTATATTTTTTAATAAAAACAAGGACAAATTTTCGTTAGGTTTTTTAAATGTCGATTTTTCCGGTTGTGCGCCAAAGTAAAGACATATTTCTTATCCCTTATCTCTTATCTCTTATCTCTCTTATCTTATCAGATAAATCAGCTGATATTTCTTTATGATAACATGATGGTGTCGATTTTTGAAAGCAAAGGCACAAAAATGTCAAAAAAAAAAACCACTAGTTCTGTGTATGAAATGTAACATTTTTATTCAACATCACGCACAATATTAGATTAACATACTTAAAAAAAAACAAACAAAATAAGTGTCATATAGAAAACAATATTAACTTTGAGAATCTTACAACACTAAAAAGTAGTTATAACAATATTTTACTTTGTAAGCTTTGTTTTTAATCACAGTTGTAGGTACTTTGGTTTATAAAATGACACTCATCAGACCCTTTCATTTACTTTTTAAGCCAAGAATAGGTTTTTTATAAGTATTTTCGAGAAAACGAGCGTCTTACACCAGATGGATTTAGATAGGAACCAAGGGCCAACTGCTAACCTTACTTAACCCTGTCTTTTGCACGCTCGAGTCTGGTTTATCCGTGTGGTAAATCACCTGCACGATCCTCATCGACATTGAAATCGTGATGGCTGATTGATTATTATGATATCTGTTTTACACACAGTTTAATAGCGTCGAAGCCTTGACTGACTGACACTCTCTCTCTCTCTCTCTCTCTCTCTGGGTAACCGACAAAACACACAAACAACGTTATTAAAATATATACAAAATAAATACAACAAATTGTAACCTTTATCTGGTTTGCGTTATGTCTTATTAAAAAATAAAAATAATAATTATTATACTATCTTTCGTTGTTCCGTTCGGCAATTGGACACATTTTTTTTTTTAACTAAGCCAATATAACTGAAAAAAAAAAACAAAAACAAAACCTATAGATAAATAAAAAAAAATTAAATAGGTACTCCTGTGTGTAGCAGCTGCAGACAAAGCCGACCTTGGTCCGGTCGGTCAAGTGGTTACAATAATATAGTTTGTGTGTATAACGTTATTAATGGGCAATTTTTTTTTTTTTTTTTTACTTTCGTTCAAGTACATCCTCTTGGGTCGCGGATATATTATTATTATTATTGTTTTTTTAACCATACGGGCAACGGGTATTATATTATGCTAATTGACGTGGGCGGTCATCGTGTGTATACATTGTTCACAGTGTTCGAGGGGCAAAAAATTCTGCGGCGAAGGAGACGGTCAAAATGTATGTGTGTCTGATCAGTTATTAGAAAATTAGTCACCGTGCCGGATTCCACAACAATAATCGGTCAAAACTGCTAAAAAAAAGTGTACCCAATTAAATCTAAAAAAGTTCAGAGTATTCACATTTTATGCAGATACATGTATATGTTCTGCAATCTAGTATCTTTAATCTATTATCTATGAACAGCGAACCTTAGTTCGTCTCAATGCCACAAATGGCAACATGTACTACTGCAATGTACCGCAGACTATATGAAAACAGATAGAATAGCTCACTCGATCGAAAACAAAGTAGATTTTGACAAAAAGACTGACTAAGATATTAGTTACAGACTCCCCTTGACAATCATACGATTTAAATGATAGCCGACAATATTGTCACAGATTAGATAAGATTAGATAGATCACTACATCCCTCGATCTTGAGCAATTTCCTTCAATTCTTGAACTTCCAGAGCTTTAAGATCTCCTGTTCTACTACGTCTAGCCACCTAACCTAACCTAACCGTGAAGGTCTGCCTCGAAGTCTCTTCC